GGTATTTTGAAGCTACTATAGTCATAAGTATAGGTCAAGTTCATCACATTGTAGCAAGTTACACTTGTTTCCTTTATCAAAAAAAAAAATTATTATTTTTTTAAATCTTCCTCTAGTCAAGTTCTGATCATCAAGCCATTGAAGCTAGGTCGAATGGATACTACCAACAAGTTTGGGCATTCTTGTATGTCTCTCGTTGCATCATATCAGCTGGATGCTTCACTGTCAGCTCCAGCCTTCAGTGGCTATGTCCTTGTCCATGGACTAACCAAACAGCCCTTCCTCTTCTCTCTCTCATCTCCAGGTCTACAGGAGTCTATGGAACATGGTCAAACTCAGCTCATATTTTCATTGCTATCTTTCCCGTCTTCCACTCACCAGTAGACCAACGTGGTCAATTTATGGTTCCTGTAGTACTTTTCTGAGTTTTTCCTTAATTTCCTCGACCTTTCTGTGGAACTTTTGGATGTACCTCAGTATCATTCTCCTTAATTCTTTTTCAGGTAGTACCAGTGCCACTTCTCCCTCAGAAGTCTTTTTTTTTGCTCTTTCTCTTGGTTGTTTTTTGAGTTACTCTGTCTTGTTTCTGCATATGAACATTTATGATATTGTTATATTTGTATTAAGTTGATGAATATATTTTGGTGTATTATTAAGCACTCTCCAATTGCTTCCTCGTAGTTGTCAGGATATGGACTTCTCTGTTTACTTTTTGTACAGTTCAGTTCTGAGTGTTTTTCGTAGATGTTGGTTGTAGATGGTGCTTTGTTGTGTAGCAGCTGGTATTCGCTCTTGCCTAATTTTTGGGGTTTCAGAGGGTGGTGTTGTGTCTTGGCTTTCTGGCTGCAGTTGCTGTTTCCTTTCTTGTGAGGAAAGAAGAGAAAATGCTTCCATAAGATAGAAGAAGGATCAAAAAAGAAAACTAAAACCAAATAAAAACTAAATATCCTAAAAATCAAGAAAAAGGAATATAGAGACAGTGAAACTGGAAAAAGGAAAAATATAAAATATAAAGCAGCTATGGAACTACAATGGGAAAATAAGAATAATTCTGTATCTCCTCTAATGGACTCTGTCCTTCACAGATACCTGAGAAATGTCATGCTTTTCTGGCTGTGGCTCTCTGATCTATCACTAGCTTTTTTCTTTCCCTCTCTCCTCTTTATTTCCCCTCAAGTTCATTCAAGTGGTTTTCCTTTTGAGAACTGGTCCAGGGCTGGCCAGGTCTGATTTGGAAGAGACTGCTGGTACCAGCGTTTTCTGTGTTTTGTTTTCCCTTCGATTATGTGTCCAGCTGTGGGATCTGCATGGACCTTCCCTGGGGGTGTCTACTTGTATAAGTTTCATCTCTGGGTACCTGAGAGAAAATGAGTAGAAACAGATAAAGAAAAGAAGAAGAAGAAAAAAATCATACCTTTATCTCTGTAAGTCGCAGGCAGGCTTCTGTGATGGGAATGCGCTTTTCTCCATTTGCTTATCTTTTGATGAGGAGAGGTTTTTAATTTGGCAAACATTCATATTATCAAATTGGAAAACATTCATATTATAAAATTAGGGCTTTTTGAATCTTCTGTAGGATAAGCATTTGACCATAAGGTTAGTTTGAACTGCAAGGTTGGCAGTTCAAACTGTTTACTTCTTGGAAAACCCTATATAGGTTCGCTGTGAGTTGGAACCAACTCTGTGGCACTTAACAACAAAGGAATCTTTTCTACCTCAAGATTGTAAAATAGTCTTTATAGTTCTAGCATTTATGTTTGTATGTATTACCCATTTGAGTTAATTTTTTTGTTTATGGAATGAGGTAGGGATCAAGTTCTTTTTTGTTTTTTGCTCCCAGACAGGTATATGGGTGTTCTAGTGATATTTATTAAAATATATTTTCTTTATACTATTGAATTGACTTGGTGCTTTAGTGAAATTGAATTGCCTATATTTTTGGATACTGTTTACTTTTCCATTGACCTTTCTATTTTTACATTAGCTCTGCACTGTTCTTAATTACTTATTTCACTACTAAGTCTTGCAATCAGGCTGTACATGTCCTCTGTTTTTCTTTCTGTGATTGGTTGAATCTAGAAAGAAAGAATCTTTCTAGATTCTTTACATTTCCATATACAATATAGAATCAGTTTTTAAAAAGTAGTTTGTTGGCATTTTGTTTGGGATTGTATTGATTCTATATATCAATTTGTGAAGAACGGACATAGTAACAGTATTAATATTCCCATTTTGTTAGCATGCTATTTCTTGCCATTTATTTGCTCCTCTTGAGCTTCTTTCAGTAGTGTTTCATATTTTTTGTGAACCTGGTGCCATACATATTTTGTTAATATTTTACTAATTTTTGTAAAACAAAATTTGCTTGCAACTTTTAATAACATTTTATAACAGATTAACCAACTTTTCCTGTTGCTTTTATGTAGTTTTTGTTTTATTTTAAAAGTTCTCATGCAAAGCAGTCAGACGCTGGTAAAGCTTTTGTAATGAACTGCTTAAATAAATTATTCTGGGAATAGCAATGTTGGTTGCTGTCGGTTCTAATTCACAGCAATCCTGTTTAGGATTTCTGAGAGCGGCTGGTAGATTGTAATTGTTGACCTTGTGGTTTCCAATCCAGTGCTTATCCTTTAGTGCCACAGCAAGGCTCTGGGATGACAGTTGTTGTTGTTGTTGTTAAGTGCCATCTAGTCTGTTCCAACCCATAGCAACCCTGGATAGGGTTTCTAAGGATCAGCTGGGGAGGTTGAACTGCCAACCTTGCAGTTCAAATGGCTTTGCATGACAATAACATTATTATAATAGTATTACATTTGTGTTTTAAATTAACCATTATTAGCATTAAAAATAGCCAAAACTTAAAGCAATTGAGGCAAAAGGTTTATTTTGAACAATTATTTATAGGCATATAGGGAAATGATTCTTATTCTTATCCCAAAAAAAAAGAAAAAGCAAATAGCTTAAAGTGGACTAGTTACAATGTTTTATATAAAGAGAGGAGGACAGAGAAAAATAGATCACCCATTAGCTAATCTTGCATTGATTGATTGAACCCTGCCCTCTACCTTTTGCTGAGATCAGTTGGTATGAAATTACTTGGTGTTCTTTGGCCTGAGTGCTAATAATTTTGCCCTCCATCCATTTGTAGCCATGAATTTTTTGAAATTTAAATTCAATAACTTTAGAGTCTCTTTGATTTAAACCCTAAAATGAATAGTTATGCTGTTGACTGCTCTCCATAATCTGTCTGTCAAGCTGTCATACTGTGGTGGCTCACGTGTTGCTGTGATTCTGGAAGCTCTACCACCAGTGTTCTAAAAACCAGCAGGGTCATTCATGCTGCACAGATTTCAGCTGAGCTTCCAGACTAAGACAGACTAGGAAGAAGGGTACAGACTACTCCTGAATATTTAGTCACTTAAAACCTAATGAATAGCAGTGGAACACTGTCAGATAGCACCAGAATATTAAATATTGAAACATGATGAAGAACACCAGAATATTGTTAGATATAATGCTGGAAGATGAACCCCTATGAGATGGATTGGCACAGTGGTAGCAGCAATGAGTTCAAGCATGGCAACGATTGTGAGACCCTGGCAGTATTTAGTTACATTGTACATAAGGTTGCTGTGAGTCGGTGCCAACTGGATGGCACCTAACAACAACAACAGTAACACTGACTGCTCTATGATCAGGAAAGGAAAGTTGATTAGCAGCTCTGGGTGAAAACAACAAACCAGTGAAGTTGATGCTGAAAATAGGATTAATTTTAGGTAAGGAATTCTCAGATTCATGCATAAGAATTGTTGTTAGTGTTGTAATTAAGTGCCTTCAAGTCAGTTCTGACCCATAGTGACCCTGTCCAAGGAACGTGAGCTTGAACTGCCTACCTTGCGATTCAGACTGATTCAAACAGTCTAGTGCGTTAACCCACAGTGCCACATGGATAAGAATAATGTCTTGAAAGAAAAGTAAACTTTTTAATTAAAAATATTATTCAACATATTGGAATTAATGGTTACTTAGAAACTTTGGTGTCACATTGTAGTATAAGAACTTGGTTTAAACCACAAGGTTGGCGGTTAGAACTTAGCCTCTCCTCAGACACCTTACAGGGTTGCTATGAGTTGGAACTGACACAATGGCACTTAACAACAGCAGCAACAAAAAGGTAAAATACAAACATGAGGCCTTAAAATTTGTTTTCAAATTCATGTGACCTATTTTACAGTTTAAAATCTATTTGGTACTGTAAAGCGTGTTGCTTTGTGAATGTACCTTCTTCAACACATACCCACTGACTTTAAATCTTAACTCCAAATAACCTCTGTGACACCAGCTACAACTTTGGTACTTCTGATTCTGAGTAGCCTCTGGAGCTAGGTCAATCAGATCTCACAGGTTAAAGTTAGGAGCATAGTTCTCCAGATTGCCTGTCTTAGTTTCCGTCTGCTGCTGTAACAAAAACACCAAGACTGAGTGATTTTTAAAAATCAGAAAAATGTTTTCTCACCTGTCTGGAAGCTTAAAAGTCCAAATCAGGATTTTGACTATGTAGGTTCCCTCCTTGTAGGTAGTTTAGGTATTTCTTAGTTCTTTGACTTGTAGATATGCTTACTTGGATGGTATCACCACACTTACCCTCAGTGATAGATTTAGAATCCAAAATAATCCTGTATGATCTAATTAACATAACAGAAATATTACCAAACAGGATTATGTCATCAGGTATAGAAGTTAGGATTCTAACATTCATTTTAGGGGACACAATTCAATCCATAACAAGAAGTAACTAGATCCCGGATTTCTTTGTTTTGTTTGACACTTATGTTCATTTGGTGTTAAAGTTCAGGATTACAGGGTAGACTATTGTGGTTTGATTTTAGTGGGTATCTATGAATAGAAATGCTTTATTGCCTAAATTTATGTTATCTAATTTCCCAAATAAATATTTTTTAATTTCTTAGTTGACTAATTTTGTTTTCTTAATATTCTAGCTCTGTATCAATATCAGCTTACATCATTGGAAAGATAATTTTGAAGTCATGTTTTGCTGAAAAGACAACTGAGAAAAATCATTTTACGAATGGGATGAACACGCACCAGCTAATGGACTGCCTACTACAATTTGAATGTTAACGTTACCAAGTTGGTACAGTTACTTAGTGATGTGCCTGTTCTCACAATACCCTATTTCAGTGTGCTTGTCTTGATTAAAGAATTCAAAGTGGAGTACCGCAAACTTGATATGGATAATAAAAAGAAAGACAAGGACAAATCAGATGATAGAATGGCACGGCCTAGTGGTCGATCGGGGCACAACACTCGAGGGACTGGATCATCATCCTCTGGAGTTTTAATGGTTGGACCTAACTTTAGAGTTGGAAAAAAAATTGGATGTGGCAACTTCGGAGAACTACGATTAGGTAAGACTTTTTAAAATTACATATGGTGGAAACATTTTTTTTTAAAATGAAAGATACATATTAAATGAAATCATTTTTTAATTTACTTGTTTAGTTGTAAATTTAAAGAATAAAGATGTTTATTTTATTCACACATATATATATTTCATTTTAAAGGAATTTCCTGGCATAAGAATTATGAGATTAACCCTCTAGAATCTGAGAATATAAGGATGTAAAATTTAAAAGCCCAGATGACTGAAATAACTACCAGAAATCCCTTTACATCACTTATTTCTCACGTATTTACTATCTTGCTATCTGGCATTTCACATTTATGACAATAGTAAAAAATCAATATTCAAATATTTTGCTCATTAACCTGGGTTTCCTCCTTGTGTCCAATTCCTAACCTGCAGAACCACCATGTCAGGCTTGCAGCTGAAGCAGCCAGCTATCCAAAAGACATCTTGCTGGTACCTTGTCCCTGTTGCTGGAGCCACCATTGTAGCTCTTTTTTCAAAATTGGTGACTGAGGTATATATTAAGGGATCCCTTCTGTGAAGGACCTGCCCTTGGGGTTTCACAGGATGAGGCAGGACAATGAAGGTGCTGCTGTAGTTCTCAGCTCCTCAAATGCCCTAGCAGGACTATGTCCTGAAGCAGGAAGGTTACTAGGGTAATTTGGGGCCTGGGGCTGCAGCAGAAACTGGCTTCCCCCTCTTCCTTTATGTCTTAGGCTTCTAAGCTACTCTTTAGAGCAGCTGTTAGTCTCTAGGTTCTTGGGTCTCGAATTCTAAGCTGTGCAAGACCAGCATGTTGTTCCTTTTTTTGGGGTCCTCCCTGACCTTCGAGGGTTGTAGAAGACAGCTAGGACTGTGTAGGAGGTGGCTGAGAGGGGCCTGAGCATGGGCAGCAACCTCCACTAACCATTTTCAGTGGTGCTGGGGGGTCAATAGTTTTGAAGGGTCCAGCTTCTGGGCCTGCCTCTCTGTCCTCTGCATCCTTGCATGACAAAGATTTCACATAACAACCTAGTCTTCGTAGCCTAACCATGTCTATAGGAAGAATGGGTGTATTTCTTAGGAATGATATTCAGGCTGTATTTTCAGATTTGGAAACATTTAATGACTGATCACTTTAAAGACATATGTATGGCTTAACATTAAGGTAGTATGAGCTGTACCCAACCCCGTTATCAACCCCTACAAGCCAGCACCTCCTTCAGGTTATTTCATGGCAGCTATATCCCAGACTCAGAACCATGCTGCATGCTATCCTCCTAGCCAAATTGCTCAATTAAGACGAAGTCCTTGCTGGACTGCTAAGGGTACCAGACCTCATCCACTCCAAAATATGCCCAGTGCTGCCCGCCCAACTGCTCCTAGGCTACCATTTAGTACTATGAGACGAGCTTTTTCACAGGTTCCACGAGTTATGTCAACACAATGTGTTGCTAACACATCAACACAGACCACGGGTTCCTGCAACTGCTGCTGCTGCAGCTACTCCTGCTCTCCGCACCGTCCCCCAGTATAAATATGCTGCAGGAGTTTGCAATCTGCAATAACATCTTAATGTACAGCCACAAGTCACCATGCAGCAGCCTGCTGTTCACGTTCAAGGTCAGGACCCTTTGACTGCTTCCATGTTGGCATCTGCCCCTCCTCAAGAGCAAAAGCAAATGTTAGGTGAATGGCGTTTTCCTCTTATACAAGCCATGTACCCTACTTTTGCTGGTAAAATCACTGATATATTGTTGGAGATTGATAATTCAGAACTTCTTCATATGCTTGAGTCACCGGAGTCTCTTCGTTCTAAGGTTGATGAAGCTATAGCTGTACTACAAGTCCACCAAGCTAAAGACTGTTAACAGTGCCACTGGTGTTCCAACTGTTTAAAATGATCAGGGACCACGAAAAATAAACTCGTGCTTCACCGAAGGAAAATACCTAAAGATCGAAAATCGTATAGTGGCCAAAAATAAATTGCAAAATATAAAATAAATTTTAAAAAAAAGGAAAGGAAAGGAAACTTAGAACCTTATGTACCGAGCAAATGCCAGGTCTAGCAAATAATGCTAGTTCTAGATTACTTACTCATTTAAAACACACAAAGTAGTAAAATATAAAAACAAATTAATGTTTTATGTTGTTTGTTATGTGCCGTGGAGTTGCTTCTGACTTACAGCGACCCTGCACAGGGTTTCTGAGGCTGTAAATCTTTATGGGAGCAAAAAGCCTCACTCATCTTTCTCCCGCGGAACAGCTGGTAGTTTCAAACTGCTGATCATGAGATTAGCAGCTTGATTCGTAACCAATGCTTTTATAGACTTTGGGAAAAATAATTTTCAGCAAAGCACAAAAATTTAAAGCATTCCTTTCTTCAATTTTGTAATTTTTTACTGTGGAAAAGCTCAGTATATCACTTCTGTTTTAGGTGACAGAATTGGTAACTGAGCAAGGAAACGTAATTAGGATTATAAAATTCTTGACTTAATAAAAATGCCTCAAACCGTGAAAAAAGAAAAAAGTTAAGGTCATATACCAAAAGTTCATAAAATAGATGAAATGTACATTTTTAAAACTTAGATCTCACTCTTTCTGGTAGGTATGTGTGGGTTTGGGCTCAAGAATCTCTGTTTTAACAAGGAACTCAGATTATTGACTCAAATTATTCTTATAATTAAGGAACTTTGGTGCTGCACTGGTTAAGAGATTGACTGTTCACTGCAAGGCCAGCTGTTCCTTTATTCAAACCCTTCGGTTATAAATAAATCCAATTCTATGTTTGTTTACTTAAATACTTCTTTAAATCTTGCAAAACTGCCTAATTTGTAGTGACTCTTTTATTAGCTTTGTGTAGTTAATGTACATTAAATATTTGAATAAAGCAAGCCAGTAAAGGCGGTGACATACTTTGTATGTAACTGCAATGGGATGTGGCTGACACACTCTTTAGCATTTAATAAGAATTCAAATATTTGAGTATGTTTTACATTTTGGCTTTGAAATAATATTTTGCTAGATACTTTGAAGTTCTTAAAGTGTTTCTGACTTTGGAGTTCCAGAAACTAGACTATTCACTTATCTAGCCCTGAACAGTATCATAGATCCACCCATCGATTTTTTCTTGCATGTCCATTATGTGCCATATGTAATTGTTGTTGTTAAGTGCTATTGAGTTCTGGCTCAAAGCTACCTTATCTAGAGTTTTTGAGGAACGACTGGTGGATTTGAACTGCTGACCTTGCTTTTCAAACCAAACTTGTGGTCCAGTGCATTATCCTGTAGTGCTGCATTAGGCACTGATACTCTACTGGAAAAAAATACACAGCCCTTGCTGTTATTAAACATATAAGTCACTTAAGAATAATGTTAAATGCTACCTTGGGTCCTTAAAGTACTTTCTCTAAAGCTGTATTAATAGACTTACGTTAAACATTTGATTGCAGGTACTGACTTACTTTTGTGGTTAGCATTGGGTAGAAGATAATAGAAGGTATACATGCTATATCCACTACTTGTCTGTCTGTTGTACTGTGGTAGCTTTCATGTTGCTGTGATGTTGGAAGCTATGCCACTCATATTTTGAATGCCACAGGGTCAACCAATGTGGACAGGTTTCAGCTGAGCTTCCAGATTAAGGTAGACATGGAAGAAGGAGAGGTGTGCACTACTTCTGAATGTTTAGCCACTGAAAATCTTATGAGTAGCAGATGAACACTGTCAGATAGCACCAGAAAACTGAATATTGAAACATGATGAATAGCACCAGAATATTGTCAGATATTTCCAGAAGATGAGGCCGAGAATATTGTCAGATACTGCCAGAAGATGATACCCTCAGGTTAGGAGATACTCAAAATATGACTGGGCAATAGCTGTCTCCTCAAAGTAAAGTTGACTGTGATGACGCAAGTGGAGTAAAGCTTTTGGAACCTTCATTTGTTGATGTGGCACAACTCAAAATGAGGAGAAACAGCTGTAAACATTCATTAATAATTGAAACATGGACTATATGAAGTATGAATCTAGGAAAACTGGAAGTTGTCAAAATTAAATGAATTCTACCAACGTCTTCAGTCTGAAATTGATCAAACGTAATTAAGATGTATTGCTACTTACTGATGATTTAAAAGCAAGTATTGGAAGCAAAGAGGAAAGATCAGTAGTTGAATAATAGGGTGTGATGATAGAAATGATGCTAAAGGTCTCATGATAGAGTTTTGAAAGAACAATGAACTCTTCATTGCAAATGCCTTTTCTTAAACAACGTAAAAGATGATTTTATACCTGGATTTCACCAAATGGAATGCACAGAAACCAAATTGACTACATCTTTGGAAAGAGACAGTGGAAAAACGCCTTATCATCAGCCAAAATAAAACCGGGGGCAGACGGTGGCTAGATCCCTAATTGCCCATATACAAGTTCAGACTGAAGCTGAAGAAAATTAAAGCAAGTCCATGAGAGCCAAAAATATGACCTTGAACATATCTCACCTGGATTTAGCTATCATCTCAAGAACTGATTTGATGCATTAGACACAAATGACGAGATCAGAAGAGTTGTGGGATGACATCTAGGAGAATATCACACAGGAAGAAAGCAAAAGATCATTAAGAAGACAAAGAAGAAAGAAAAGAACAAGAAGGATGTCAGAAGAGACTCTGAAACTTGCTTTACAGCGTTGAGATACAAAAGCAAGTGGACGAAATGAGGTTGTGAAGGAGCTGAACTCAAAATTTTAAAGGGTAGCTAGAGAAGACAAAATTGAATATTATAATGAAATGTGCAAAGAACTGGAGTTAGAAAACCAAAAAGGAAGAACATGCTCAAGCTTTTCTCAAGCTGAAAGACTTGAAAAAATTCAAGCCTCAATTTGAAATATTGAAGGATTCTTTGGGAAAATTATTGAATGATGCAGAAAGCACCAAAAGAAGGTAGAAGGAATACACAGAGTCACTGTACCAAAAAGAATTGGTAGGTGTTCATTCATTTCAAGAGGTAGTATATGAT